TTCTTTCCCAACAATTATTGTATTAAATAAATTAATGATTCACTGTATCTACCATACACTGATACAACTTCGACATTCTTAGCCGATGGGGACATTCCGTACCGGAATGTATTACATGCATCATCCCATTCTTTCCCATTATTCTACTAATAAAAGAAGTTAATGATTCAGTGTATAAAACCATACTCTGATGAGAATTCGCAATACTATGTCAGTGAATGATAGTGCAAACCCATACTATCATGAGTCTTTTCAATCTCACTCGTTCGTCAGTTGCAACTTTGATCCACTGATAATACAACTTTGATACATTGACCGCTTTCGCTCATAGTACAATGTTGTTGGTGTCAAAAAGGGGGAGAAATCATATACGAAGACATATTCATCTTCTCAGGGGGAGATACTTTCAAGATGCCTTATCTTCTCAGGGGGGAGATAACTTCAAGATGCAAGAAGCGTTCTTACTCTCAGGGGGAACATTCATTATCTCCTCACTTCAGAAGCTGAAAAGTTTTCCAATCATGAATATGATGACTCCAGTGAAGGTTAGTTTTGACATCATTATATAGGGCGAGATTTTAAGGTCACACCTTATGATCACATACTACACATTGACCACCAGCGCCTGCGCCAACATCAAATTGATCAACATCAGCGTGGACTCAATGATCTTAATGATCATATGTATATTAGGCAGTTATACGTTGTATATATAGAATAGATGTCTGATCCATAATCTTAGTGATTAGGATCAGACCTTTTAAAATAGCTTAGTTACATCCCCAAAATAGTGGTATCTTCGTTTCTGTAATCGTATATGTCGTGCTATTAGGTTCAAACCCCAATAGAGCTTGTACCGTATTTGTGACATGTTCTCTATGTGAAAACACTCTTTCTTAGTGAAAGAATCTTTGTGATCATATTGCTTTTTGTTCTTTGTTGTTTATACTTGAGTGTATTCGATCGATACAAACCTTCAACAACACATGAAATAAAAATATATTTCATTTATATCAAGTTAAAGACTCCAACATTAATATTTCTAATCACTGAAAGTATACTAAAAAGGGTACATACTACAAATACACAGAAAAAATATATAGGAAAATGGAAACAAATGTTATTTATAATGACCATTTCCATATTGATATTACAAAACAAAAGATTATATTTTTTTAGAAGTCAAACAAATAATACATTTATTCTGTTATCCTTCACAGTAAAACAAACATAAATCAAAAACAGGACAAAGATTTTTCATCAATAGATATTCTCATTTAGATTATACAATTAGCCAATATCTAACTATTCTTCTTGCAAAATCTAGCTCTAGTAACATGTAAGATATAGAAATTTGAGCAACATATTGTTTCCAAAGGTAGTTAATGGTTTCTTCAAGAGTTGAATCCGGATTGGCGAAGACAAATTCATAAAGAAAATTTGCATTTGTTTTAGGGAAAGCCCTCTTAAGTGTATTTGGCCAGAAAATATTATAACTTGGTGGTTCCTGATCAATGAACATGTAAACTATATTGTTTCAATATTCAGGGAAAATACTTCTTTTACAAATTTGAATGTCAGACTCATTGTGCAGTGGTATGAGACCGTAATCCAATGTCTGACCATATATGAGTGAGCACCGGTTTTCCATTGTTTTAATCTCAAGTTCATGTGCAATGTCTTGTAGTGTTTGAGGATTCAACTTATGAATGTTGAATAACTCCATATAAGTCACTCGCTCTCTTTCATACTTCCTCTCAGACCGGCCTATGAAAAACCCATGATGATGCACCCTCATCGTGATATACATGACATTATAATATCCATAAATATCAGAAGGAGACCCTGTAGATCACGATCCTATGATCACCCAAGGGACATTGTAGTTGGCCATTCTTATAAAAGGGATTTTAAAAAGGGGATATCAAATTGTGTAATATAAATAGGTTAAAATGTTGAGTTTAATTTACAACATTTATAAGAGCTACACTGTAAATGAAAGGTCAATAAGCTTAAAGGGGAAGTTAAAGGTCATGTAATTGAAGGAGATTTTATGACTTTGCAGATTTGTTTGTTTAAATGGATATTTGATGTCATCAAGCCCCAATCTTCTTCAAATTACCTAATAGTTGCAACAACAAATCAAACCAAATTAGGAACAGCAGAAGAAGAAAGAAAATAGAAAATAACGAAAGGGGGATTAGAGGCCTTTCTTATATTCCTTCATGAAAAAAACTTTCAGGCTTGTATCAAGCAATCATGGGAAAGTAAGAATGTGGGGGAAGGGGTTAGATGTTTGTAACTGATAGAAGGTGGGAAAGGAGTTACTGATCGTGATGGAGGTTGAAGGAGGTTAAAGGAAGGATGTGGGGAAGGAGTTGAACTTTGGATGCGGAAGATACCCGAATTCTCTCAACGACCGCTTATATGGATCTAATTGATTTCCTCCTTACTACTCTAAAAGTGGTGTATGTCCTGAGAATCCCTTTTCCTGAATACGTTGAGGATGAAACATTGGAAGTGATAAAGAGGAGATCGAAGTGATAGAAAGATGAAAACATATGTGGTGGCCACATCTTAAATGATATGTCTACAAATGAATTAGTAACAGGTACACCAAAATCCACACCAATGCTGAAACAAAATACAGAAAACAGTAATTAGTAAAATATACATCACAAAAAAACAAAAATGTACACAATAACAATTTTAATTACCACTTATCGATGTACTCATCAACATTTCATAAATTTTTATAAGTACCATTGAAGTCCTGTTTAAGAAATTTATTTTGAATAAATCATGTTTAAGTTAAATTACGAAAGCACCAACATCATCAGTCGATCTGTACACAAAATGACATTAACAAAACCACTGTCTCAACTAAACAATTAGAATTAGTATAAAATTGTGTAGGTCAAGAATCTTACCACAAGGAAGACGATGTGGAAATGAGAACGAAGGACAAAAAGCACCAAAATCATCAGCCGATCTATACACAAAATGAAATTGAAAAAACCATTGACTCAACACAACGATTAGAATCAGTATAGAATTGTGTAGGTCAAAAATGTTACCGCAAGGAAGACGATGCGGAACCGAGAACAAAGGACATTTTATGACCTTGCATATTTGTTTGTTTAAATGGATATTTGATGTCATCGAGCAACAAACTTCTCCAAATTACCTGAGACATGCAACAACAAATCAAATCAAATTAGGAACAGTAAAAGAAGAAAGAAAATAATAATAAAAATAATGAAACGGGGGCTAGAGGCCTTTTCTTATACTCATTCACTAAAAAACTTCCAGTCACAATCAAGTAATCATGGGAAAGTAAGAACGTGGGGGAGGAGTAAGAAGTTTGTAACATGATAGAAGGTAGGGAAGGAGTTACCGATCTAATTAATTTTAACCGGGTTTTATGCATAAAAAGTGTAACATTCGGATTCCTTGATGTATTCTTATTATATATATTTAATATAAAATGTTGAGTCTGAGTTGCATCCCGAGAACATACTCTACAATTTTGTTACGTCATTTCTTACTAACTTAATATGGGTCTTAATCTATTAAGTCACAAATTTGGCCCAAAAAGCATAAAACACTCATTTTACCCTTTGGCAAAAATGCATATTCTTATGCATTCTTTCTCTTGAACTTACTAGTCTAACCTCATCTTAGCGACTTAAACTCATTTTGGCCATTTTCATGAAGTCACAAATTCATAATCTCATCTTTTTCTTATAAATGACCATTTTGCCATTTTGGTCAATAGTTGACTCAAAATCAACTCTCTCTAAATTTCAGGTTCTTACAATCTACCCTCATTAAAGAGATTGTGTCCTCGAAATCTTTTCTTACTCTCTTGGTCATTTTCGCACTTAATGAGCCATTTCTAAGGTTATTCTTTTCTTTAACCTCTTAACCTGAAATAGCAATCTACTTTCTATTTTTTGCATTTTCAATGCAATGGACAAACTATCTTAATCTATCTACTCACAATGGTTGTTAAGGGACGTCTACTACTCTATCCACCCTTATGCAATCATATTGCATACTTAGCACCCTTTCTCATCTTTTTGTCCCACTTTTCACAACTATATGCATAAACTTACAGTTTTTCATTCTTTTTCTCACAAATGGTGAGTAGTCACCTGTTGTAGAGTGATATATATATATATATATATATATATATATATATATATATATATATATATATATATATATATATATATATGACAAAAGTGAATATGTGGCTGATATGTATGTAAGTTTGTATATAGAATCTTTAAAACGACGTAGTTTTGATTAATAACACTTCAAATAACTTATCCTAAAATCTAGGTTTTGTAATTTAATTATTTGATTTTGAATGATTCTTTCCTTAATAACTCTATCTTCTCCGTGAACTTAAAACTTTTATTTTATGTACGTCAAAAACGTAGTCAAGCATTATGATAGAACTTTTTATGTTAGATTTTTTCATTTTTAATTATATACTATGTCTAAGTGAATTAGCCATACACTAAGTGTTTAATGATTGTGTTTGCAATGAAGCACTTTTTAAGATATGTGAGTAATCAAATTCATTTACACCAATGAACTGAATTAATGTTTTTGTTTATTAACAGTTAATAGCCTTTCGAGTGGAAGGTTCGAACCAGTAACGGTGTTAAGTGGCAGGTTTTATGTTTTTTTTCTTTTAATTTCATTAGTGGTGTAAAATAGTTATAATTTGATATTTATATTATTTACGTATATTTGGAAGGGTTGGAATTAATCGAAACTACGTAGTTTTTTCATGTTCTATATGTAAGGTTGTATACATGACAGCCACATATTCCCCATCCCCTATATATATATATATATATATATATATATATATATATATATATATATATATATATATATATATAATACGAATATTTCATGCTAGTATAAATTGAAATGATTTACAGAAGTTAAATTATAGCAACAAAAAGAATACATATTCAATACTCTTTAATCTATTCTCTATACCCTATCAAAACTCAAAAGAAATAAAAGGAAAAAACATATATATAACACCAATCTCCTACCATTTCCTTCTCATTTTCTTTTTCTTTGACCTTTTACAGAAAGAAGTATCCTACATTCATAGGTCCTTCACTTCACTTGTAAGTCTTGAACAAACATGTACAAGTACAATCTTTTTTCCTCTTTTATGTCCCCTCTAATTAGAACAACATCCTTTCCTTTGGTTATTATTCCCATAATCACCAACATTAATGGTTGTTCTTTGTGTAGGAACAACCGCTTTGGCTGATTCCTGAGCAGCCAAAGCTTTCTTACTAACTATCTGATATATATCCAACAAAATCATCTGAAAGGCTTTTTCCACATTTTGTGCTTCGAGTGCAGAAGTCTCCAAAAACGACAACCCTTCTTGTTCTGCTAACTTTTGACCATCGGTTTCTTGAACGGCTCTAAGATGGTTCAAATCCGACTTGTTTCCAGCCAACATGATCACAATGTTGGAGTCTGCATGGTCCCTTAGCTCCCTTAGCCACCTTGTCACGTTTTCAAATGATTGTGCTTTTGTTATGTCGTACACCAACAGAGCACCTACAGCTCCTCTGTAATAAGCACTTGTGATTGCTCGATACCTTTCTTGACCAGCTGTGTCCCATATTTGTGCCTTCACTGTCTTCCCCTCCACCTGCATTACAATTTACAATTTACACCCACCTAGTACAAGTTATGACAGACTAATCTCTGTGGGTAATTTCAACAAACACCTTATGGGCATTACTAAGTCTCCGTCGATATGTTGCTATTTTCAAGAAACAAACTATTATATATGGATATGATTGACGTAAAAAAGTGATATCTATACGAAATTGTAGGCGTAACCCACAAAAAAACTGCCGGAGGTTACTCAACCTGAAGAGTTCTTGTAGCGAATTCGACACCGATGGTGGATTTAGACTCCAGACAGAACTCATTCCGGGTAAACCGAGAAAGAATGTTAGATTTACCGACTCCAGAATCCCCAATTAATACAATCTTGAATAAGTAATCATACTCGTGATCCACCTTATATGCCATTCCTTCTCTCAGACCTATAGAAAATGGAAGAAAAACACGATTAGAAAAACGAAATAAAATTTTTATAAACGACTATTCATAACGACCAATTTGGGATCTTTTCTTTTCTTCTAATCAATTTCAATGAACAAACTCGTTTTTTTCGATAGAGTTTCACCCACTTTTATTGTTTCAAACCACCATTTTCTTATCTTCAGACGTCCTCACAAAACTAGAAAGTGAAAACGAATCCCAAATGTGATTCTTTTATGTAATGGAAAATGATAGAAGATTAAGAATCTAACCATGCAGAAATGGCTGATGAAGAACAAGACTGTAATGGAAAGATTAGACGGAAGGAGTTGCAGAGGATTGTAGAGAGAGAAAGGGGAGGAGGGAGAGAGGACCAATCGGAAGAAACAGAAATTTCGAATAAACAGGAACTTTCATCGGTAATTCAGAAGAAGAATCAGAAAAACCTGGAATTGTTTCAAGTTCACAAAGTTTTCATTACTATCCCTATACTATATTTTAATGACACTAAACCCCCCATACTTTTCGTCGCCTACCACTTAGAGTCTTAGACTATCTTCATTAATAACAAATATAACCTAATTTTCAATTAAAAAAACTAATTTATCTCTCCTACATCTATAATTCTACACAATCCAACCCCTATCCAAAATTTTCATCATCCTTATCAACCCTACCAAATCTAACTTTCAATTAAAAAACACACTTAAAAGAGTATTCATATATTTATTTAGATAATTTATTTTATTTTTTAATATGGATAAAATAGGATTATTTATATAATTAGTTTTTGATTATAAATAATAATATAATACCATCATTAAATGGTGGAGACGTGTGTAAAGAAATGGGTCTCGAAGTATATGGACATACATTCTTTGATGTCCCGATGATATACTTATCCGAGTCACGCCAAATGAAAAAGTTTCAAGGCAACACAATAATCAGGAAAAAAAAAAAAAGTCGAACGAGCTTTTGGCATCCTAAAAAGTCGTTGGTGCATACTTGAACTCCCTGCACGAGCAATGCTTCCTAGAATATTAGAAAAATAATATACACTTGCATTATTTTACACAATATAATTTAAAAATGAAGATGCGGCGATATGTCCTGATTACGTTATCGATCCTCCAAACAATCGAGAAGTAAATGAATGTATTCTTAACGAATGGCATTACCAAGAAGCCTACCACAAGTTTCTGTTTATTTTAATAGAAAGAAAAAAAAAAAAGATGTGGCCATATCGTAGAACATATTTGCAAACACCTGCATACCAAACCTTTACAACACTTTTTTTTTCTTTCTATTATTTACCCTTCTATTTATATAATCAAATATTATTTAATTTCTTATTTTATATTTTTGGACTAGTTTTTATGTTATTTTAATAATAAAATGGTTTAGGGAAGAGATGTATGTTAGGAATGACCATTTCTATATGTTTAGAGAAGTTACGTATGAAATGAAAAGATAGAGGAAGAGAAAGAAAAACTGATATGAGGCTTGTTGTATTTATGTATTTGATGGGTAACCATTACTAGGATAAGGAATGGACATCACCTTATCACCTTATGTGTTTGAATTTTTTTTTTAATTTTAGGTAGTGCACTGGCGAGGCTATTTTATGTGAAGGTGGGTCACTTAACCACCTAAAATTAAAAAAAAAATTCAAACAAGTTATATATAAAATATATTTAGGACCTACCTTAAGTATTATTAATGACCTACCTTATTGTGTTTGTAAAAGAAAAAAGGTATAAATTATTGACAACAGAAGACATCATATTTTGTGGTATGAAGAAGTCTCACATCGGCTCTAAGAAGAAAATGATGCATATTTCTACATCATAAGCTTGCCGATGCCTGATTTAGATTGACTTACTTCTTTCGGCTTTCACCACCAACTTTTATACGTATTAAACCAGTCCGATTGAACCCAGTTTTCTCCTGAACTCAGCCGGTGAACCAAATGATTTTTTATTTTAGACTCTTCATTGAAGGAGTGACAGATTATGGTTAAATGGCACCTTTGGTACCACATCACCAACCCAAAAAGCTTTTCAAGCAACCACTACAGGTGAGTTTTTTCACATAGTATTATTATGATCCCATAATAACAATTATATAAGTATATGTAATAGATAAATGAATAAAATAATATTAATTTGTGAAAAAACTCCATGTAAAGAACTTTGGGGTGAAACACTATGTTGTGTCATATGATGTTGTCTCTCTTAATCACCATTCATCGTAGAAATCTCAAGTGAAACAGAACCATTGAATTAAAAGGGAACAAAGAATAGCATATTCAATTAAAGACTTAAAAGAAGTTCAAAAGAAAAAAAAAATTCCTAATAAATCACAAAAGTTCACAAACAATTTCAAAACAGAAACCCACAATACCAATTACAGAAATAAATCCTTTAAAGGTTTATAAAAAAAAGTAATCAAGACCAACTTTCCTCATATTCTTGCACATTTATCTCCAAAATGACCCCATAAATAGTTAAAAACTTGGTGTCATTCGATCACTTTGATCCTCAAGAGCTACTTGTGCAAAGAAAAAAAAAGCAGATTAAAAATAAATAATAATTTATTTATAAAACAAAACTCAGAGAGGGAAGTTTCTAGTAAGGCGAATATGATCCAGTGTTCTTCGTAAGCCATATGTATTAACAGCTGCATTTGCAGCTCTAAACCCTCCTCCATATGCTGGTGATGCATCATGAGCTATTTGATGCATGAAAAATTCACCTAATTTGTTCTCATTTCTTGATTTCCCACCTTTCTTTGATGTTGATGATGATGTTGATGATGATGGCATGTTTTTTAATCCAGGCATGATCTCTGATTCGAGCCACATATATGAAAGCACTTGACAAATACCTTCTTCTACCTCAGGATTTAGGCTCCTGTAACCTGTCAAAATTCAAAAACTTTTAACATAACTTTACTAGTACCAAAAAAACTTAATCTTAAAAAAGATTATATTCAAGAAACTGTATGCAAGTTGTTACCTTTAAGACGTAACCAGCCATGCATCAACTCATGAGCAAGAATGGCTCCAGTTAGTAATCTGCATATAATATACTCAAGTGTTTATAACCTTCTCAACTGTTATATACAAAATTCGGGTCATAGTTTTTTATTTTTTTAACTTAAATTATTTATAGAAGTAAAAGAATGGAGGATAAAAATGTGACCTTGGAAGACCATACAAAGCAAGAATGGCAGTAACTTCACATCTTCGAGTCAGCTTCTGATGATGAGTTCTCATTCCCACCAATCGATGACCACCAACTCTCGGCCTTTTTAATATCTGCAACAAAATAATTAAATATCTAGTAAATTACATTTTTGGTCCCTGACTATAGCTGATTCTTGCAATAGGAAACCTTTTGGAACCTAAATTGAAAAAACCAGCTATACTCAGGGACCAAAACTGTAATTTACTCAGAAAAATATATTAACTATTTGCAAAATTACAAGTATCATATTCTTTTAAAGCATACGTACACTTGCAACAGTCTGCTCTTCAGAAAGACACACACCCCTTGTCTCAGGCAAATGATGGAACCCCTGAAAGATAAAAGAATGTAAAAATCACAAGAATTCAAGTAGCAAAAACATTATAAAAAACGAAAGATTGATAAATTACGTTTTTCTCCCCCACGATAGCATCATTAAGGGCGTGTCTTTCAACAAGAAGCATGGGAATTTGTTGATCAAGTCTCATGTTCATTCCCTCATAGTAGTCTCTAATGGAATGATAAAGCGGTTGACAGTCTCCTGTATCCATTATTGCAGATTCCATGCACTCCAAACATAAACTCCTTCCATCTCCCAATGAGATGTATCTTACATTCACACACTTCAATATTTCCAAATTAACATCATAATTATAAAAAATGTTATAAAAAAAGGTATAAAGATGGAAACTTTATGTCCATACCTCAAGTCTTTCACAACTACAACATCGAGCTGTATTATCATGTTCATGTGCTGGACAATATTTCTGTGACCAAAATGGATGGCATCGATACTCGATTAATCCAGCTCCATTTGTGGGAATCTAAAAAGTAAAAAGATGATATTACACTTTTTGTAATTGTTTTTCTGTAAAGGAATATATCATCGTATATGCAATTCTTTTGTATCTTTTAGCATCCAAAATCAAATCTTGTTTTAAGAATCAATACAACTAAGCAGGTTTTTCTTTTTGACTAATGGGCTTAATGGGTTAAGAAGTTAATGCGGAAAGATATATATAAGGTTGTTTCTTTTTGCCTTGATCCATACAGAATGTCTTAACACATTAAGCCCTGAATGCTGGCTTAATACATTCAGACCCAAATCTTCACATAAATGTTGGAGTTTATTAGGGTAATTTTGAGTCTGATGTGGATATAGTGAAAATTGTTTGTTGGAGTGTAAGGGTAAAATGGTCATTTACTTATGTTCACGCGGTTTATTCGGTCCAAATAGAAACAGACTTTGTGTATACAGCACTTTATCCATACATACATCTTTACCCATTTGGCCACTTTATCAGGACTTAAAAAAAAGAAATACATTCAAGTAAAATTTCCCCTTACAAATTGAAAGCAGACTTCACACTTGGGATGAGTCAACTCTTTGAAGCAGGACTTATGGTATGCATCTTTTCCTGATAAAGAGAACTTGAATCAACAGAAAAAACTAATAAGGTCTTGAAAAAAAGAATGCATTGTAATAATGATTAAAAAAAAGAACAAATTACCTCGTGTTCTGTGATTGGGTAACTACAAGCACGACAACAAAAGCACTCTGGATGAAAAAATGTCCCCATGCAACCCAAGTAATTGCTGTAACCAATATCACGGTTGCATCCACCACATACCCTGAAATTAAGAGATGAATACAAAGATTAAATCAAGGTTATATCATGTTTTTAGTAACAAAAAGATATAATAAGTACCTATATCCCATGGGTACATATGGAGGGTATGATGGATGAAAGTCATCTTGATGTGATTTTGCAAGATCATTATCATTGCCTGGTTGCCACCCGTATCCTAAAGTAATTCAAACACGCAAAATGTTCATCTGTGATCTTGATAAAGATTGAAAATGAGGGTGATGAACTGATGATTTTTGATTTAGTTAAAGCTTACCATTTGGTTTCCTTAAACCTTCAGCCAAAGAAAGTGCAATTGCTCGATCTAATTCTTCCTTTTCTTTATCACTTCTTGTGCGGTTGTCCTATATGAATTTCTTGCATTAATAGCTATAATAAATACATATATATGGCATGTAGAACGAACAAAAAAAAAAAAAAGGAAATATGGATTTACCAAGGATCTAACAGGAGCACGTAATACCATACTTTCATCTCCAATAAACTGAGGAGGATTTCCACCACTGACTGAACCACGACTTGATCCACCTTTAAGAAGCTTATTCAGCCATTTCATGAAACCGGACTTCCTCTCTGCGTGTGGAGAAACAAAGTCCCCTGTTTTAGAAAAGTTTCATAAGTATAGTTCATTCAAGCATTTCATCAAACAGTTTCCTGATGCACTCACAAAACCCATAAATCAAACAATAATTAATGATGGAAAGTGTTCTTGTTTGTTCGTACCATAGATACAAGGCTGAGAGAGGTGAGTGACGTTCCCTGAAGAAGACATGACTGGTGGGTTGTGGGATGTATGTATAGTTTGGCCACCGGGATTTCAAGAAGGAGAAAAGACGAATGGTGAAACTGGAAAAGGAGTAAGATGGCGATAGAGACTGAAAGGGTGGTTTGAAAAAGAAAAAAAATAAGATTAGCAGAACGAGATGGGGAGAAGAACAATGGCATCATTGTAGATAAAAAGCTAATTTGTTTGAGGAAGAAAAGAAAAGGGAATCTCTGAAAGGGTAACGAAAGGTACAGTTTTTCTGATAGAGAAATAGATAGATTCTTGGCTTGTGTAAAGCAAAGAAGAGAAAGTGGGATAGATCGAAGAAAGAAAGATAAGCAGAGAATCTTAGATGAAGATAAAATAAACGGTTTCTGGACAGCCCATAAAAGAAGATCAACAATTGAAATATAGAAAGCTAGGGTTGAAGATTAGCGTCTAGAAGAACAAAATTTGATCGGACTTTGTATAAGGAAACCAACTTTTGAAAGAGAATTTTGCCGGCAAAAAGGAACGGCATACAGATCACAACGGCCCCTTCATATTTGACAATCGCCATAGGTTTAGTTTGAAATCTGTTTCTCCATTGGAAACAAAATTAATCAAACGGGTGGTCCAACCGGGTACCAACTTAAACGGGTGGGTCGGATAGACTCGAACGTTTTTTCTATGCATGGTTTGGGAATAAGATAAATAATTTTTAATTTATTATTAGTTTATTGGTGTCAAAACATTATAAATTAATAAACATTTTTTTAATATTTTGCTACGTGACAAAAAAGAAAGCTTCTTAAAGTAGACAAACTATAACTTATAATAATTTTTAATAAATTTGTGGAAATAACTTATCAAAAATGATTTATTAGCGGTATGGAACATCTATAAGTTATATATATATATATATATATATATATATATTATATATATATATATATATATCAAACACTTTTATTAGGTTATAACGGTATAGAACCGGTAATAAGCTAAGAAACTCTTTTTTTTTAACTTTCTCAAACATCCAATACTTTTAATATATGAATATTTACGAAAAGAGAATAACTTTGGTAATGATATATAAATAAAAGAGATTAACTTTGGTAACTTTAAATATAATGACATCATATATTTGTCGGTTTAGAAGGTTATATATATATACCTCATGGTATATGTCGCATACGACAACTTTTCAAAATGATGACTAGTGCATCTGATGGTTTGTTGAGCATTGGAGATTTACTTTGGATTGTGGTGTTGTGGATTGTATCATTCAATACCCGTTAGTGGAGGGCTAACCACACCTGACCAAAGAACTTGATGGTTCAAACATCAAGATACTCGTAAAGAATGAAGTTGCATCATCTCGTTAATCCTTATACCTTTTTCACTATTGCATAAGAGAAATGAGCACTTACCTATTTAAGTCCAATATGTTTGGCTGCAAGCTAACCACATTAAACTAATTAAGGGGACTTGATGACCCTACCACCTCTTACAAAGAGATAGTCACCTTTTGTCCTCATTCACTAATAGAGAAGGTAGTATGAGGCTACGAGCGTGTTGTATCTCCCTTCTTTCTTATTGTCCCCTTATTTAGTCATAATCCATCTACCATTTGAAAATGATCCCAAAAACTTCCACTATACTCTCTCCTTTAACACATATATTATCATATCTGCATAGATATAGATGGTTGATCCTTATCAGGAGAAACAATCTCCACTTTTACCTCGATCTAACTTTATCGTAAGACGATACTTCTTCCAGGGCACATGCTCTAGGATGGTCCTAAATATTTTTTTATATGATGGTAGATAGGAACCAAGTAAAAAATCCACTAACCACTTACAAATCCAAGACACTCAACCCCTAAACCAGTTACATTGGTTTTATGTTGCATCATTACCATGTGGGTAAATGAAAAGTTATTTTAGAAAGTTGGAAACTATTTTCAGATATACATAAGATGACATGTAAGTTAATGAGAATTCATGTCAGTTTAGCACATGTTAAATCATAAATATGTAATCATGGTGGAAATTTCTTTTTAAAGTCGGTGGCTCTCATCGACCAGAATACAATATATTTGTTAAATAGCAAAAACAAAATAAAATATATTGATATTTATGTATATTTCCCTAGAATAATATAAAAGATCTAAATTTTATGTATTTTTTAGAATAACCGATTCGAAATGAGACCACTTTTGGATTTTGGGATTTTTATATATTGTATAAAAGAGTTTGATCTTCTTTTACGGTTCAAAATAAATATTGTTTTGACCATTTTAGATTTCGGGATTTTTTTATATATATTTCAAAAGGGAACTATTCTCATATGGTTTAAAATAAATATTTATTTTGAGTCATATTAATTTGATTTTTTATATATTGATTTTTATTATTATTTCAGTGTTAATAATAATTTTTCAAATTCTAACATAATATACTTAATTTATTGATTTCAATATATAACATAATATATTTAATTTATTATTTTAAATATGTTATTTAATGTAACATATAAATCAAAATGTCAAAAACTAAAAGTATTCAATGAATATTTTTTTGAAATAACTTAAATTTAATATGGTGTTAAATGTAAAACATGAAAAAGTAAAATGTCAAATAACCTAAAATATGTCAAAATCCTATTTTTTATCACATGATAATCGAAATGACAAAAATAGACCATCATGTCTAAGGTTTCTCGCCAAGTCCGCATCTATGGTGTTATTCGGTTGATGATCGGTTTATCCAACCTCTTCATATTAAATGTAATCAAACTAAATAAGGTTCGATTTAATTGGTTTCAGTTTATTCGGTCCAGTTACTAGTTAAACCAATTGAAACTTAACTTGAGTAATTAAAATTTCACATTATTACTATTTAATTGTTTAATATTTGTGTTCTAATCAAACAGAATCAAAAACATCTTTATTAAAGGTATGGACAGTCCATTCACTTTGAAGATCTTGTGCGAAAATAAAAAATGTGCCAATATAATTTCGGATTAGCATGCGATAAGAACAGTTATATGACAGGTTAGCGAATGATTAACGACAGATTAGCGAAGGAACCATGAAATATTAAAATTTCCACCCCGACGACATGGGCCATGTGCGGTGGCACATCCCGCATGTGCTTAGGACCAGTCTTGATTAAATATTTACAAGTTAAAAAGAAATAGTAACTAGTAACTAATGAAAATAAGTATATATGTAACTGTAAATTTATAAAAAAAAAAATAGTAACTTCGATGATTTTATAATATAAATATATAAAAATATAAAGTATGTTGAATCATGTGATTAGTGATACCCAAGATTTTTACTTGAGTGGATATATATTTTAACAGAAATTAAATATCCTCCTACAATATGCTCCTACTTATCTTCCTACCCATGTTAAATGGTGACAAGTGGATTAAAATATTATTAAGAAAAATTAAATATGA